AAACAACAGCTTTCACACTTATACTTTGGTTTTCATTCTACTATAGATATAAATACACAAAAAACAACAGTTTTCACACTTATGCTTTGGTATTCATTCTACTATAAATATAAATACACAAAAACAACAGCTTTCACACTTATAATTTGGTATTCATTCTACTATAAAGATAAATACACAAAAAACAACAGCTTTCACACTTATAATTTGGTATTCATTCTACTATAGATATAAATACACACAAACAACAGCTTTCACACTTATACTTTGGTGTTCATTCTACTATAAATATAAATACACAACAAACTTGAGGTTTTTGAAGTAAAACCAATTTTCATGATATAATACTTACCATAAGTTTAGTATGCATATACAAAACCTACACCCATCTTTGTAGCTCAAAAACAAAAGATTTAAATATCCCTACCTCCCTACGTGACGTAACCTATATCTCGATGACAGAGCCACGGAGTGATCTCCCTTCCTCAAACCCCCTTTTATGGAGCCTAAAGGCAGCCAGGATGAGGAGGCAAGGGGAGGAATACAGGGTGGGACTCCATAAAGTTATGGTAAGTATTACATCATGAAAATTGGTTTTACTTCAAAAACCTCAATTTCATTTCAGTAATAATTACCATAACTTTAGTATGCGAATTCGTCTTACCGTAGTGGAGGCTTCGAATCCAGGCAGACCAGGCTGACGGAACAAACTCGAGACATGCTCAAGGTAGGGAAAAGGTTCAAGGAACCCCCCTAATAAAGCCCCGAAAGTAATTAAAAAATGGAAAACCTCCCCGTGAAACGAGCAGGTGTACCACCGTGGTGCCTGATAGCATACTATTTAAAATCACTGAATTACTGTGGAGGAACAGCCACAGACTGTGCAACCACCACCGGTCCAAGGGAATACAATCCATCAGAATGAGAGGCCAAGGACCGGAGATAAAAATCCGTGAAGGTAGTCTGTCCGCGCCAGAAAGCTGCGGACATGACCTCCTGAAAGGGGGACCCATTGAGGAGGGCCCATGACGCAGCAAGGGCCCTGATCTCATGAGCTCTCACCTTATACAACGCCCGAACCTGATCATCCGAGTGGTCGTAACCGTACTTGATGACCTGACAGATCCATCTAGACACTGACTGAGAAGAGATATCCTGTTGACCCTGCTTAATGTGCAAAAACAGACGAGATCGAGGACCTCGCCCCCCTGGTTTTATCGAGGTAAAACCTCAGCGCCCGACAGGGACAGAGCAACCTATCTCGTTCCTTAGTTCCAACGAAGGCAGTCAAAGACGGAATCTTAATCGGATCGGGCGAGAAGCCAGGAACCTGATTCTTAGCCATAAAGGCAGGATCAGTGAGAAGGATAACGGCAGAGTAATTCCTGGACCATCGGAGGCAAGAGGGGTGAGAAGACAAGGCATGAATCTCACTCCTCCTTCGACCTGAGGGCAGGGCAATAAGGAATACCACCTTGTAGGTAACAAACTTCAAGGAGGCAGACGCTAAAGGCTCATAAGGTGCCCGCATCAGCGATTCGAGCACCAGTGGCAAATTCCACTGCGGAGCCAACTGCCGGACCCTAGGCCTGTCCAACCCAAACCCCCTAATCAAGGCAGAAAGAGAGGAGGACGAGCCTACCTCCGACCTACCATGAACAGAGAGAACACTAGCAATGGCCGTGCGATAACCAGCGATAGTGCCAGGGGCAAGATTGCGGTCCCTAAACAGCCAAAGAAGGAAGTCCGCAATCACCTGGACAGTAGCCTTGATCGGATCAACCTTCCTGCCGACACACCAATCACAGTAAATCTTCCATCGTGACTGGTAGACGGCAGATGAGGAAGCCCTAATTGATCGAGCGATGCGATCTGACACGTCCCTAGAAAAGCCCGCCTGAGCGAGGCCTCCTGAGATAGCTTCCACGCGTGAAGGTGGAGGATCTCCGGACGAGAGTGCATCGTCCTGGAACGAGGCTGGCGAAGGAGGTTCGCTCTGAGAGGAAGAGCCAGGGGCTCTTCCACCAGAAGCGACAAAAGCTCCGGAAACCAAGGCTGCCTCGGCCACAGGGGCGCTATCAGGAGGAGGGAACACTGATGCTCCCGAAACTTCTGCAGCACCCTGCCCACCATGTTGAAGGGTGGGAATGCATATGCATGCATTCCCTCCCAATCCAGAGACAGAGCGTCCACGGCCCAAGCCCTTGGATCTGGTACCGGAGAGACAAACGTTGGCAACTGATTGTTCAGTGAAGTGGCGAACAGGTCTATGTGAGGCCTGTCCCACACCTGACAAATTCCCACGAAAATCGAGGGATTCAGTTGCCACTCTGTCAAAACCGGCTGGCGGCGCCTGGAAAGAGTATCCGCCAGAACATTCAACCTGCCTGGCAGATGCTTGACACAAATTGTCAACTGCATTTCCTGACATAGAAGCAGAATGCGGATAGCGAGGGCACACAGGGTGTGAGACCTGGTTCCCCCCTGTCTCTCCAGATACGCGACAACCGTAGTGTTGTCCGTAGCCACACAAACCACCTTGGAATGCAGGATCTCCCGAAAAGACTGCAGAGCCAACAGAACAGCCCTCATCTCGAGCACATTGCTGTGCTCCGAGAGCTGTTCCCCAGACCACTCCCCCGACTGGCAACGCCCGTCGAGATAAGCTCCCCACCCTGTCATGGATGCATCCGTGTACAGGGTCATAGTGGGAACTGGCTTGGACAAAGGAACCCCTCGGAGAACATTGTCCTGATGAGTCCACCAGCGTGCGTACTCCTTGACCGACTGGTTCAGAGGAAGCAAGGCTTCCCAATCCCTTGAAGAAGGGACCCAGTTGGCAAGGAGAAACATCTGGAGAGGCCTGATGTGAAGTCTCCCTAAGGGGACCACATCGGCCAGGGCGTTGAGATATCCCAGAAAACTGAGAAACCAACGTACCTGGACTTGAGACCGGCCGATAAAGGTCAGAGCAAAAGCCCTGGCCTTCTCGAACTTCTCCATCGGTGGAAGGGCGATGCCCTGAACCGTATTGAAACGGTTCCCCAGAAAAACAAAATCCTGAGATGGGGAAACCTCCGACTTTTCTCTGGAAGGAATGAAGCCGACCTTGAGTAAGAGTTTCAGAACCAACCGGGTGACCTGTACCAGAGACTCTCTCACTAGGTGGAGCATGAGGGAGTCGTCGAAATAGATGTGAACATCTATTCCTCGAGAGTGCAGGAATCCCACGACCACCTGCAGCAGCTTGGTGAAAACCAAAGGTGCAGTCGTGAGCCCGAACGGCATGGCCCGGAACTGGAAGACCTTTCCGTTGCAAGTAAAACGGAGGTACTTCCGTGCCGACTTCTTGATGGGGATGTGGAAGTAGGCGTCCTTTAGATCTACTGAAGTCGCCCACATTCCCTCTCTCACGGAGGCGATAATACCCCGAGGAGTCTCCATCTTGAAGTGAGGAGAATCTACGTGCTTGTTGAAGGCACTTAGATCTATGATGGGACGCCACGCCCCGGACTTCTTCCGAACCAGAAACATTCTGGAGTAGAACCCGGGAGTGCATCCCGACATAGGAACCTCCTCGACCGCGCCCTTGGAAAGCATGGTCCTTACTTCCTCCTGGAGCGCCAGAGCCTTTTCCGGAT